AGTGTTGGTAAAATGAAGGTAATAAAATGGAAATTGGCTAATTCAGGTTGTCGAAACTGGAAAGCATTTGACTTTGTTCCCAACAAAAAGGCCAGTAAACCAGTCAATAAGGCCCAGTGAAAACAAAACATGTATTATGTATATATTCTAGTTAATCTACAACTGCAATGACAAGAGTGATTACAAATGCTTATTTTTCGATTTGATTTTCACTATGGGTCATCTGAAAACAATCTTTATATGCTTTAGTACATGAGTAAGACTATGTACACCGACCTACACCCATTACCCCACAGTAGGTGGGAGCCTTTGCTATTGGGGTAACGATGACGACGACGACAAATGCTTATGTAAGTTGATTATTAGAATTTGAGTGATTGTCTCATTTTAAGAGAACATTGTTCAAATGCCTTATGTGTCCGAATAAGAACATTTTTCAAAGTGTAATTTCCATTAATAGGAGTAAAACATACTCTTTCCCTAAATAGGTTTTGGTCTCGATCTTCCCTAAATAGGAGTAAACATTAAAATTTTCCTTTAATACTCCTAATCGTACTAAGTACTATTTTTCCATTTTGTCCATGTTTTACTCTTATTTAGAGAATTATCTCTTGTTCAAAAAAACCAAATTTTGTATAAAAAATAAGAATCTATGCAAAATGGATATAGTATCTAATTTGCATTCCCTAAACAAACTTTTTCCTGGGTCTGAGACGCTAAACTATTCATAGCTTCACATTTTCAAAACCAAGTACAAACTACTGCAATGCCCTAATATGCTTCCACAAACCATCGAGCAAAACTGAATAAAGTACTTGCTGAAATGAGACCAATCACAAATAAAGCATAGCAGCATACCAACATTTATCAAATCTCCAAAACATGATTCCATTTTTAACGAAAAATCAAATTAAAACAGAAGTACCAAATTTTCATAGTCATAGAAACCCGAGGAAGAAACTTACCTCAGAAAGAAGCCTATTCCTAGGAAGCAATTTCGCCACTTCTGGTGGGAGAACAACATGCCTGAACCTCAACGAAATTGACAAACATCAGATACAAAGAGGCACCTGATAGTAAACAAATCCTATCAGACGAGAATGTGAAATACCTGTACTCGTAAGTATCGTCATTGTACTTATCCGAATACTGGATCTGACCCATTTCACAGCGATGACCAGACTACTGGATCAAAATGACAGAGAATTTGCTTAGTTCAACTTATATGTCGCAGAAGGACAATGGTGCTCTCGAAATTATAAGCAAAACCCCAATCCGAAGTTTGAGCAAAGGATACGAGATATATAAGCAGGTTTGAAGCGGACGAGAAATGGTAATAGGGGGCGGCAAATCCACAATCATTCTTGTGCCCAAAATATTTTCAAAATTCGAATCGTTCCCGATTTCAACGGTAATATGCTAACGAACTTTTTAGAATTGTTTCGCAAGGTCTTCCCGTTAAAATTCATTTACGAAGTATATGCTAATTTGGCTGTATATAACTACGGAGTATATAAGTTAAATATGGGTTTTATATATTAAAATAAACTCTCCTTTCAAAAAAATATTTTGCACTAGACTTTCACCTTTTTGTTCCAAAAACTTTGGTACTTTTCTTTTAAAGTAATAAATTTGTAGATCTGTCTATTTCTCTCTCCTATGCACAAACTTTAATCACATATGGAGTACGTAATAATTTTTTCTTTTCTAATTCCACACCCAATACGAAGTTAGCAAATTTGAGTGAGGCGGAGATAATATTAAAATAAACTCCATCAAATTGTAGAGATAACTTTTCACTTTCCTGTCAAACATCTTCCGGTTCGATGATATCAATGTAATAGCCCCAAAGCGGAGTTCAGAGATTCAAAACGCATTCTAGAATGTTGGCACAAACAATAACAGATACTTCCTCCGTCCCAGGGAGAAGTTCCCACTTTTCTTTTTTGGCAGTCTCAACAAAAAGTTCTCATTTCCCTAAATGGAAAGTTATCCTACATCAAAAAAGTGCCAAACAGTGCAAAACAGTGCCAAACAGTAAAATTTACCCTTCAGTAACTTTATTTCCTTAATATGTGTGAAAGTCAACCCGGGAACTTCTCCCTGGGACGGAGGGAGTACTTCATACTCCCTTAATATTTTAAAGTTTGCTACACTTTTCTTTTTTGGTAGGTTTTTTCCTTTAAAAATACCTAACTACCCTTACTTTTTATACTCTTTATCTTCTCTTTCTTATTCTTTCACCTTCTCTCCTACCTCTTATACACTACTCCCTCCGTCCCATTTATTTTGTCTCGTTTTATATTTTCGGGAAGTCCCACTTATATTGTCTCATACCATATTTGGCAAAGTTTGTGTGGCTCTAAATCATTCTTACTTTATCAATTAATATCAACCACACAAACCCACTTTTCTTAATAACCGTGCCACCCTCTTCCGGGACAATATAAATGGAACGGAGGGAGTATTCGTTACCTCTACTATTTCCCCTTAAATATTGTGTAGTGGTCTTTAAAATACGGAGAGAGTACTTTTCTTTCATATATCGTATTGTCATGTTGTAGTTGAAAATGTTCTATTTTTAAAAGATCTTCTTACTTGTGATTAAACAAATCAAATAATGTAATTATATTTGACCTTTTGATAATAATGTTACCTTAGACAGTAGGGACTAATTTAAAATATTTCAATATCAAAAGTACCATCATTTATTTGGTAAACTTAGCTTAATGGTATCATATTCTTCAAAAAAAAAAACTTACCAATCCTTCTAAATTACCACTCACCCGTCCGGTCTCTCTCCTACTTTGTTCTTCTTTAGTTATTCTTTTGACTCGGCAATTAATTTCATTCCATATATTGAGTTTTTAATAACCAATCATCTCATCTGGAGTTAAATCTCCATTGTTGGGATCAATAATCTAACTCAATATAGTTGGGCGCGTGAAAATAAAAGTTACATGTATGATGAGAAAGTTGGTTGATAGGCCAGAAAGCAGGGTCAGCAAACGAGCTCTAAATCAAATACTCCCTTAGACCCATTGGACTTTGCCAACTTCTCTTTTTTTGTTGTCCCAAAAAATTTTGTCACTTTCCTATTAAAGAACTAATTTGTGGTTCTGCGCATTTCTCTCTCATCTGCACAAATCTCAACTACACAGTTTTTACTATTCTTATTTCTCACCTAGTTTGCACTTGACAAAGTCCATCAGGACAGAGGTAGTATTTCTTAGTACAATTTACAGTTTCAAGTTTTAACAAAAAAAACGATTGATACCCCATCTTAAGGATGGACTTGCATCGGTCCAGTCCTAATTTCGGGCCGAGGCCGCCCAGTCCAAAACAAAATTGGTTGGTCTTGAGTCCGAACAGCTCTTTCCCAAGTCTAGGCCGGTTCCAGTCCTCCAGGTACCTGACCGATCCGATCCCAATTCCCGTTTATTTTTTTTAGTTTTTTGGGCAAACCGCTGGTTCAGTCTCCAAAATTGAAAATCATAACCATGAACAGCTCTAGAATATACAGGTCCAGTTCCAAGTAGTGGTGGACTCGGGTCGGGCCACCCGGCCCGTGAACCGGCCCACTACTGTGCGGGACCGGCCCGTGAACCGGCCCGTGAACTGGCCCGGCCGACTATTGTGCGGGAACGGGACCGGCCCGATCAGCGGTCCGGGTACCGGGCTTTGACCCGGCCCGAGGGGAAAACGGTACCGGGCACGGGTAGGCCTATTTGAGACCCGGCCCGGCCCGGCCCGGTTCGGGCCCAAATCAATTTTTTTTGGAGATATTACCCAAAATAGGACTAAAACAGTTTGAAAATTCCAAAATAGGACTTCCATGTTTTTATTCCCGAAATAGGACTAATTACTGTCATGTTTTGGTAGTACCAGACTTTTAAACATGGCAGTATTTTCCAAGTTTGACAGTAATTAGTCCTATTTCGGGAATAAAAACATGACAGTCCTATTTTGGAATTTTCAAACCTTTTTAGTCCTATTTCGGGAACTTTCCTTTTTTTTTGTTTTTTTTTTTCATTTTTTTATTCCAATGGGTTGGGCTGGGTGTTGGGGGGTTGGGGGTGGGGGTAGTTAAGAAAGCCCAAAAAATTATTTTGACCCGGCCCGGCCCAGACCCGTTGGATACCCGAGCCGGTCCCGGGCCCAACCAAAAATCCTAAAAAGCCCGCCGGGCCTAGGCCCAACCCGACCCGAATCAACCCCTGGTCCCAAGCCCAAGACCGCTCCAAACGAACCCCATTGACACCAAACAATGCCAGACTCAATTTCAGACCGAGCCAGACTAGTGCTGGACTCGGGCCGGGCGGCCCGGCCCAGAACGGCCCGACTCGATTACTGTTTGGCCCGGCCCGGGGCCCGGTGGGTCCACCGGTTTGGTTCGGCCCGGCCCGGCTGCTGGGCGGTTCGGGCCCGGGCCCAGGTTTTGGTGAACCAGCCCGGCCGGTTCGGGCCCAGTCCGGGCCGGATTTTAATTTTTTTTTGTTTTTTTTTGAAATTTTTTTAAGTTTTAGGTTGGATTAGGTATTTTGGGCCATTTGAGGTGGTTTGGGATGGTTTGGGGTTGAGGGGGAGGGGTAGGGGATTAAATAGGAGAACAAAAAAAATAAATTAAGTGGGCCGGTTCGGCCCGGCCCGGCCCAGTTTGGCCCGGAACCGGGACCGGAACCGGCCACCGGCGGTTCGGGCTCGGGCCTCCCTTTCCTGGCCCGAGGCCCGGCCGGGCCCAGGCCCGAACCGGCCCGAGTCCAGCACTAAGCCAAACCATCAGACTGACTTAGCGGAATTTCCCTTTTAACAAACCATCATGCTTAAATAATCCAACGGCAAATTGTTTACAAGTAATTTAGTTTATTCATCAATCATTACCGTAATGATTAAGATATCGTTATTTCGGCTGTTTTTCTTCCGGGAACTAACCTGAGAACTAAAGTAACTAAACTAGTATCAAAACGAACCAAACTACCAATAGCTCGGGCCTCAGGGAATAGAAAGTAAGAAAGAACTCAATATGTAAAAAAAAATATTAACAAAATAAGAGTATTATTTCTTTGTTTTAACAACAAAGCCGGGAATAAGATTCTAGCAAAAAACACTGATAACTTTTCGATTCCTCTTAATCACATCGGGGCAGCAGAGCAGCAGATTAGCGAATAGATTGACATCCATCCGCTCCATATTTCCTAATCTATATATTTCATCTATTTTCCAAAAGAAAGCACCACATATGTACTTATCAAACCCATGCTGTTTAGCCATTTATATACACACAAAAAACCAAACTGTACGTTATCATCCCATTCAGCACTTCAAAATTGATTTACAATGACAAAAAGCTCCACCCCTCCACCTACATTGCTCTTTCATGAAATTTGCTTTTGCAACATTGCTGTTCCATGAAAAATCATCACTTGATAGCTTTTTCTGTATTGCTTCAGCTGAAAGGCATAATACAAAACACCATGAATAATAGATATTTTCATATTATTATTAAAACTAGAAAATTAGTATGATTTTTAAGATTACCTCTTCTGGAGTCATCTTGTTGAATCCAAATTTTTTCGTCCAAATAGATTCAGCTTCCTCTGCTGCAGGCAGCACCAGAGATTTCACCCCCAAAGATTTCAGAAGACTCGCGATGCAAGAAAACAATGACTGGAAGTACCCCTACAAGAACAGAAACTCATCATTAAGCATCTGTATCTTGACATTAACAAGTCTATGTTTTGGCAAACAAACTGATAAGTTGTGTTTTGTTAATTGAAGAGTGTTTTCAGTAGAGATTTAGAAAGGCACATACCTGTTTTTTGCTTTTTAAAAGCTAAAAGCAGTGTTTCCAAAATGATGTTTCTGCTAAATTTAAGCACTCTAAAACTAAAAGTTTTAAGTAGAAATAGGTACTTAAAACTGTTTCTTCACTTCATCTATTACAATTTGCCCATGAGTAATACAAAGTTCACCACACTTTAACATTTCTTACTCTACCAACTTTTAGTGTTTTAAGCATTTTCTCAATAATTAGTTAACTAACTACTAAAACAAAGGGAGAAGGTAAAATATACCCTTGAACTATATGTTAGAGAACAAATATACCCCTTAACTTTCATTTGAAACAATTCAACACAAAAAATGTAACGTTAGAACAAATATACCATTTTTCCTAATGCTTAAGGGGTTTCATTTGACACAATTAAACACAAAAATTGTAAAGTTAGAACAAAATATACCCTTTTTCCAAATAGTTAAGGGGTATATATGTTCTCTAATATATAGTTTAAGGGGTTATATATATTCTTTAAATATAGTTCAACACTTCAAGGGTATCTTTGTTCCAAATTAAAATATGTGTTTAATTGTTCCAAATTAAAACGTGTTTAATTGTTCCAAATTAAAACGTGTTTGATTGTTCCAAAATGAAGTTGTAGGGTATATTTACTCTAACACATAAAGTTCAAAGGTATATTTGTTCCTTCCCCCCTAAAAGGCTAAAATAAATCACTTCACAAAAGCACAAGCAAATGCAACGACTCCCATACTCCGCTGGTAATGATGCTAATTTAGAAACAAAAAATGGCATGAAAGCCTATGATTAAACAATTTACAGATTAAGAAATGAGGGTTGTGTTTTAACACAACACTCATTAGCATATTTAAAAGCTAATCTATGAAGCTTATTAAAAGCTCAAGTTTATCTAATAAATTGTTCAACCAAATGGCACTTATTTGAAAAAACAAATATATAGGCTGGACAGAGTGTAGAGTTTCTTTGATTTGGGGATTTAGGAGGTGAGAGGATGATTCATTTGTGTTTCAGTTTTTTATCTGTATTTGTTAGTCTTAAATTAGAGGGAAAAAAACTACGTAGTACTCCATATATGTTTAGTGAAATTGTCTATTTGTATATAATTTTTAACCTTTACTTTCTTTATTATAATATTTAATATGTAAGGATAAAATAATTAAATGAATCTATTACTCGCCTCCCCTTCCTTTCTAATCCCCCAACCAAACAATGCCTTAATCATACCTTTCCTTGGCAATCAAGACGAGTGGCAACCAAAGGGAGTTCTGCCAATTCCTTGCCAAATATCCGAATAACTCCAGCAGATACAATTGTTGAGCTGCACAAATTTGAAATTAGAATGGATAGCCTATTAAATCATGAAACGCCTTCAGCAATGATTTCTAATATAAAAACAAAATATATACATCCTTACTTCACCAATAGTACTGCACATAACATCCCACCAAAATCTTGATCCTTGAAATTCTTTCTGAATAAATAAATAAAAAATCTATGAATTCAAACTACCAGACATGGCGGATTAATGCAGAAAACAAGAATTGAATCATCAATACTTTAAAATAATTACTTACCCATAGACCATGGTTGGTATCAGATCAAGGCGGCTAGTACTGGAATCAGCAATGGGGTCAAAGCAATCCTAAATCATTTGATTAAAAATTAAACTCAGGCACCTTTTGCAACATATCTGTCGTAATGGAACTATCCACTATTCAAAGACCGTGAACACTAAAAAAATTAAGCTACAGAAGATTTGCTCATAACACTTCAAATTAACCAATCCCTTCATCCCAAAAATTAAAAAGATCAAGCATCAGATGAAATCCCATTTAAAACCAAAAACAATAATAACTATAAAAAGAAGCCCATGAAGGCACTAAATAAAAAAGCTACTAGTACACCCACATGGAAAATTGAGACAGCACTAGAAAGCCACTCCCTTGTTTCCCCGGATGACGTTTTCCCACTGAGAAGTCTCCATTTTACATCATGAACAGAATTGTCCTCCAAATTCTTCCCCTCGCTCTTCTCCTTTACAATTTGCAATAGAGGGTCGGGAAGGCTCAGTTCTCCTTCTGACAAAAGTTTGTGCAGAGCATAATGAATGCTACTACACTCTCCGCAACAAAACCATTTATCCTTTGGCAATTCCTGGAGAAAAAACACCTTCAGATTTCCATTTTGAAGTTCTTTATGAAAAAATGTTTATTTATGAAAGAGAATAACAAAGTAATGAAGCTGTTGAAAAAAGAGAGTATTATTATTTCAAGTTAAAAAGAGTAGACCTTAAGAACATCCATATTATTCTCTTCAAGACACTTGACATGATATTCCTTCTCGCACTACAATGAGAGGAGAGAAAAGCTGTCAAGCCTAAACCAACCAATGAGCCCTAAAACGTTCTGAAACCAAAACTGTGATACACCAAAGAACAACCATATATACCTGGTCACAGATAATAACTGTCTGGGGACCAAACCCTGATGTACTGAAATCTTGACTCCTGCAAGCAGTATACTTTAGAATGAGTTTATATGTTGAGCATTTAGAGATTGTCAAGTGTTCTTAACAGACGCAAAGGTAACTAGGAAGACATGGAAAATTTCATGTAAGAATATACTGGATGCAAAGCACAAGGTTAAGATACTACTTCCCCAAACATCAGCTGACCAGTTTTAAAAGTTATACTGATCATAATACATGGAAAGTATAACCAACAAGATATATTATCAGCCATGAATCTGCCTCCCTCAATAATCATCATGCTTCTCAATAATCTTATGGTGGCGATGATGACTTGTCCCCTCCAAAGCCACCACACTGGGGTAGCGAATGGCAAACGGAAATTGGATTTTTGGCAAGATGTCATGTTCCTATGGCACTTTTACAGATGAGTGGCTAGGAAAGCCAGCCTGAGCTGGGTGACTACTTCCAGGTTTTCAAGTTTAGTAATTAGTATATTGCATTTTAGTTGGTTATCTGCTGTTAGTTACATAAAATGTTGACACTACTTTGTTTTATATTTCCATTGGGGGGCATAGTTGGTAGAATTCAGTTAGAAGTATGGTAGCTTGTGTAGCCACAATAGGCTTCATTCCGAGTAGTGGTTAGCAATGTGAGTTGATCCTTAGTGTGGTCACTTCTATGTCTCGTCGACGAGTGTACCTGGGCATAATTGTTGTCTGTGTCCTACGTACTCACCGTCATTTCATATGATTTATTATAAGTGTTCCCTATTGAAATAAAAATCATAATAACTCAATTTAAATTCAGCTCTTATGATGAAATAACAAAGGTCAACCTGCAAAGCACACAAACGCTAACTTCTGCATGGAGAGTGTCGACAATTCGAATGCAACGTTTGGTAATTTGTTCTAATGCATCAATTCCAGCAACCCTCCCAGCAGCAATAGCATTTACGTTGTGTTTCACGAACTTTTCTTTGGTGAACATATTCTCACACTGTTTACAATACCAGGTACCAGTGGGTATACTTGGCAGGGAAACACACACTGGGTAGAATTAGAAAAGAAAGAATTAGTTATCTCAATAAATAACTTTAGCTTGTGAAGATAACTAAAATATGTCTGTAGACTGTTGCACACGTACAATAAAAGTAATTATTTAAGTATAGATTTAAAAAAATGGTATGTAATCCCAAACTTTCAGTAATATCTAATCCACAACTATTTTCATAAGAAACAGGTCATCAAAATATACCTAAGAAGATGGTCTAACAATTACAAACACGAAATATGAACCACTAAAGATAAACAAAAAAGAAGTGACTAAATTATTTGTATTATTGTTATGAGACCTGCATGGAAAGCTCTTGGGCAATTATCACAACACACAAGATCACCTCCATCAGCACAAATGAAGCATAGATCGTCATTTTCTTCCAATGCTGATTTGCGCTCTAATGAAAGTTTGATAGACAACTCGTGCAATGACACTCCATTGGAAGTATAGATGTTCAAGTATCTGGAAGGAGAAAACGCACCAAGTTAAAATATCCTCCATAGTAGATGACATTTACACCCCTCCATTTCTCACAAACATCTCCAGCAAATATATAGTCAACCACAAGAAAATCATGAAAACTAAATAGGTCATGATGCATGTGTTCATCTTCTCATGCCTTATGCCCACTTAGGCAAATGTAAGGGAGCCATCCCCATAGGAAGCAATCCAATGTGGGTATCTAAGTCCTCCTATATGAAGGTCATCTCACTCAAGCTGACTTCAGGGTGTTATAATCTTATATGTAGTAATAGACTATATTAACAGTATTGGGGTATTAGTGGTTATGAACTAGTGTACTTACAAGCAAATCGGTTGAACATTTAAAATATAATCATCGCATTTTAAAACAACACATAATTCCTTCGTAGAAAATATTCATGAAACCACTTACGGTTTACGGCGTGACGCACATCCTGCATGAGCCTCAAATTGTGAAGGGCTTACCTGCAAAAGAAGGTTTCGGGGTTTAAAGGTAAAGTTATTGTTATAGTTCATTTAATATACTTAACATTGGTTTATATTTAAAAGAAAAAGGAAAGGTAACTTAAAGTACCTCTTTATGACAGCAATAACAAAATATTCCTGAACCTTTCTTATAGCCATCAAGCAATCTCTGAGCATAGATAATTTCGAGATTAGGAGGACAAGGTAGAAATATTTGACTGTAAAAATGATTTCTTACATCTGGAAAACATACCATCCAGAAACTTCCCGAAAGCTACATAGGAATCATTATCCCCAAAAAAGTATAAACTACTTGATAATGGTGAGATGTATTTACCTCTCCTCGAACATAATAACCTAATGCAGTTCCATCTGGCAGGATATCTCCCTCAAATACCAGTTTATGCATTCGGATGTCTCTGTACAGAAAATAATAGTAATTATTATTAGTTAATATAATAATTAAAAAAAGAACGATACTATTAAAATTAAACTAACACCATTTACTATTTGTAAATATAACACGGTTGAGGTGTAAAAAATAAACATTGTTAGTTTAACCGTATTTACGAAAATTTAGACAAATGGGGTGACATTTACAAAACTGATTAAACGAGTACTACATTTCAATATGGACAATAACAGAGAGGCTAAAAGTGTTATTTTCCCTATTAATAATAAAGAAATAAGAAATAAAAAAACAATCAAGTGAGAAAGGTCAATAGTAATATAGTAGGATGACATGATGAAAGTAAATAAACATATTCAGATATTCTTTAAAAGGCAGAAACCACAAGCTAATAAGGGTTAATGTTTTTAGCAGAGTGATGAATATAGAAACCGAGATTTAAAAGGAAACACTAACTTCCTAGTTAATCTTCCATGAAGCTTGGTACGGGGGCAAGTCCCGGTGGGCTTCAAAACAAGATTTGATGAAGTCGACCTACATGAAAGGAGTGAAGTTTATATAAATAGAATGTTCATGGAAGAGGAGTAAAATGTCAAAGCTGCAGATTACCTATCCACAGTTCTACTTAGATTTAATCCCATTATACTAGTTTGGTATTCATCCTGTTCTAGTTTTCTCCATTGAATTCCTTTTAACACTATACCAAACCTCAATCCTATAATAAACATGCTATTATCAATCTTCAACAAATATCAATTTCTATCTCCCCATCTCCAACTAAACTAATCTCTCATCAGAAATTTAAAAAGAAATGAAAAATATGCCATCGAAGTAACACTTGATTCCCAATGTGTCTATGAAGAGAGTCATATGATGCTTAGGATATCAATGTAACATCTACATAAGAAATGTTTTAATGTCTAACCTCAACAACCCCTTCAAATGCATTTAAATGATGGTAAAAACTTTTTCTAACTTATTAACAACATACTCCCGGCAGAACAGACAGACCAAAGGTATACAAATCACCCCTTAACCATCCTAAAGAAGTATAACTATAAAACGAGGTTAACATCTCTGTAACGTGCTAACATTCTCAAAGTACTAAACAGCACAAAATGCTATACATTCTCAAATTACTAAAGAGGACAAAATCCAACAACTTAACAATCATAATTGAAGGAAAGTACTGACTGTATAATTAAATGTATGTATCCTTATGCAATTTAAATTTCTCCTTTATGTGTAAAGGTGATCACTTATGAAAGGCTGTGATAGACAAAAAGATAAGTACCTGCTACTAGCATCACTAGCTTGAACAGGGGTAGATTGTGACTTTTGCAAAGTCATACATGAATCACATTGAAGGCTTTGACTACGGAGAGCAGCCTCGGGCAAAGAAACTTGAATAATAAATAAATCAAATTGTCAGACTCTCATTTAACCAGGACACTAAACAAGATGAAATTAGAAACTAAAAACAGCACCTTTGCAGTTAAGACAAAAAAGAGATATTTTGGCATCTCCAACACCAGAAGCATTTCGAATTACAAATTCAGCTGCATGAGCAGGAGCATCCTTGCATGCCACTAATACATCACGAAGAGTTTTTCCGTTATCTAAATATATATATTCTGATGGACGTTTATTTGCACTGCCTGCATGGATTTCAAATTGATTTGGAGAAACAACCTATTGATATTAAAAGAACATTAGTCAAGATACAAACGTGTTATGAACAAGGTACTGCAGAGTAAAAGGTAAGCTTACTTTAGATCCATTACAGTCTTGACAGTAGCACAATATTCCAAATCCCCGGATGACTCCTTGGAGCTCTGGTGAAGAGAATCCTCTAGTCTAAATTGCAAATAAAGAATGAAAACAGGTAAACTTACAAGCTCAACAAAATTTCATCACAACCAGAAATTTAAACCATGGTTAGTGACCTTCACCTTCGAAGAACGCACATAGCGAACAGGTAATCCTTCAAGCAAACCAGTCTCAAGAAGCTGTCTCAGCCTTGTTGGAGTCTTTTCCAATACAACCTTCTTTGACATTTTCATTTCAAGCTTTGATGTTGTAGCAATGGAACTTGGCCCATCACATTCCATAGCATCTTCCATCTTTATATCTTCAGCCACCAGCCCCTGTTTTGGCTTCAAAGATGACCGAGTAGTTCGCATCAATGGGTTCTCAGCACTCCCAAGAGCAATTGCCAGTGACCTATCGTAAGCAGAAATTGCTTCATTTTTCGTCTTGCAATCCTCTGACATGGGAATATCTTCCATTGTTGGTTTCACTAAGCCATCATGATGCTCCTCACGGCCATACTTGTTACCAATCATTAACTTCTCAGATATATTTTCATCAATTACTGTTTCCTTGATAATTTCAACACCTGTGTTCACCGACCTGACACTTTGTTCATCGTAGCAAGATTTATCAGCAAGCACCCTTTTCTCATTAACATCTCCATTTTTGGAATTTTCTTTATGAAAAACACCTTTACTATCTACCATACCGATAATCTCACCCTCATTACCAGATTTATCCACATGCACTGTTGTCTCATCAACATCTACAACTATAGCCCTTTCATTCTCATATCCATTTAAACACTTCAACTCCTCTCTTTTCACAGAACATACGGCCTCTTGTTCTCCAGTTTTTGAGTCCAGTGAAGTACCCTTCTGATCATCATCACTAACACCATCAACAACATCACTCTTCGTCTCCTCCCATTCGCCTTTTAGAGGGAGGACTTCTACCTTTTCAACACCATTATCACATGCCATGACCTCAGTGTGGTCTAATTTCTCATCAAGCTGAGGCGTGCTGTGTTGAGACGTGACCACATCTGAACCCTTCCGCTTTTTTGCAATAGAATTCTTTGTCCTACTACAATATGGGGAGCTTCTGGAAGTTCCCCCATTCGAAGCCACATTCGGCAACCGGGAAGCCCTCTTCTGACCTATAGATATTCCACATTTAGGTCGAGCCTTCATCAGCATTGTGAATTCGCGTTTCATTCCAGACCTGATAGACGAAATCACGATCTCCCCTGCTTCCTGTAGGTTTGCCATTGCAGAAGCCTTTGGAATTTCAAAGAAAACTAATCTATTCTATAAATAATACACCCCTGTACAAGATCGATGGGATCCTCGGAAAAAAGCAACAGATCGGTTGTCAAGGGCTCAAAGCACGAACACCGATAAATAAAAACTGAGCTAGACGATTAAATAATAATAAAAACACTTTGCATCTTTAAGATATGGCAATATCCTGTATCGGTGTTCCAATTCAAAGTTAAGCACCACGGAAACAAAGGTTACATGCACAAAGCCATTAATGTTAGATAGTAGTCGAGAGAGAAATTAGGGTTTTTTGTTCAATTAAACAATTGAGGTCGGTAGGAACTAGGAATACAGATGAGAAACGGAAACCCGCGAAATTCCAATAAGGACCCTAGAGGCCTAGAGGCCTAGTGGATTACTATTGGGTTTCTGGAGGGACGAAGAAAGCAATAAAGGGTTAATTTTTAAATATATCTCCCTTCGGATTTTGATATTAAAATATACTCCCTCCGTTTGACACAATTTGACTTGTCAAGATTTAAAGGAAAAAAGTTATTGAGGGGTAAATTTAACTGTAGAGTACACTATTTGGCACTGTTTGAACACTGTTTGGCCCTGTTTGAACATTGTTTGGCACTGTTTTGCACTGTTTAGGTAAAGAATTGTTTACCAAATAAGGAAATAAAGAAGTGTGGCATTCATTTTGAAACGTCCAAAAAAGGAAAGTGTGTCAACCAAATAGAAACGGAGGGAGTATTTAAATAATGTACGAAATACAACGTATACATTAGGAAAAATTGAAATAAATAATCCAACATTTATCCGGTCTGCTGTAAACGATCTCTCCTTTTTGATAATCCATAAAAAGCCCAACTTTTGTATAAAATCTTCCTTCTTCGGTCCGTGGTCATATTAACCGGTGACGTAACTTATAAATAATTATTTTTTTTTATAATTATTTTCTTTGATGTTTTTCTTTTCTTTCTTGTCCTCTTCCTTCGTTCGCACCAGTGCCCTCTGGTCGTTTTTCTTTTCTTTCTTCATTCGCACCAGCTTGTAGCGTCTTCCTTCTTCCTGAGTTCGTCTGTGTAGATCTATTCTATGTTGACACCGATGAGTCGTGTACCAAAAACAATTTCATAAGCTTATGGGTTCTTTTCGACTCAATCAAGCACAGGGACAAACTCGAGCATGAATTGTCTTCACAACATCAATTCGGTTTTGAGAGTGGTTAAGAATGGGAAAGATGCCAGAAGGAAAATTCATGGTTGCTCTTGATGGCCTGTAAGTTTTAAATATTTTTCTTCATTCATGTTCTTACATACGTACTAAATAAAATTAGGGTTTATGTTGAGATTGATTTTGAATTTTGATATTATTTGGTTGATTGGTTTGAAATTTGCTATTATTTGAGTATGAAACTGAAATATTAGATGGTACAAATAGAAGATGGTGTTTATGTGATTCGGGATGAAAATTGCATTTTATGTGTTTATGTGGATCGGGATTAAAGACTAGCAGACCGACTAGAAGAGATGATTACCTAAAACCAGAGATGAGAAATACAGAAAACTTGGATCTATTTTTTTGGAGTACTAAATAAATGCATCCAAGAAAATACTCAGTAGTCTAGAACTAGAGGTTCTGAGTATCAAGATTTGGTAAAACCCTTGAGAAATAAATAAATGCATTGTTACGTAATTGTAAATTTTTCATTTCTTTTACATGAATAATAGAATTCACGTGGGACCCACACCAGGAGTGGGGGCCATCCGATATCCTCAGGACCACATATTATATTCGTTTGGGTCTAGATAATATTTATATGATTGTGGATATCCATGTTGGGCTATAGAAACTATGCGAGTGACCGGTTACGCAATTAAGGCCCATTTATCGGTACGGGCGTACCGACAGATGAAGCCATAATAAATTATGGAGACCACTAAATTAAAAGTTGGGAAACATATATTCATTCCAGGATCCAATGATAATTGGAAGGATAATACATATTTCATTTGACGCGATAAAACGAGATTTAATTAAAACAGTTTGGAAAATATAACTTTTGGGACCAAATGTACACTTGGGGACACAAAGGGATGACCTCCCACATAAGTGGGGGCCACCCAACGTTTTTTAGTCTTGCAAGAGGTGTGGAGAGCCGTATGAAGAGCCAGGAAATAAAGGGGAAGTGATTGGGAGACAAATGTGAAAGAGAAAGGGACCCTCTCTCATGTATTATTGTGAGAAATGCCAAAAAGGCATCCTCAATCACCCACCAACTCATCCCATTCGTATCAAGCAACATCCACGAGGGGAGAAGGTCTGCAAACCACCATTTTCATCCACCATTCACGCACCTAAGCAAGGGGAGGAAGAAGGAAGGAAAAAGAAGAAGAAAAAGAAGGGAATTAGGAGAAAAACTTGTGGTTAACAAGGTAATGAATTCATTAATCCCATTTCTCCTCTATAATCATATTTCATACTCCTAGGATAGTTCTACTCGTTTAAAAGTGTAGAATGGGGTTGGAAAGGAAGTTTTAAGTCCAAGGACGGACTTAGAGAACAAAGTTGATGGGTTCGTCGGAAAATAACATTTTAGAGGTTATTTATGTTGATATGGGTGTTATGATGATAAAACCTTGTTATTAACTTGTATAAGGTATTTCAAGAACCTTCACGGAGTTGAAAGGGTCGCCGGAGTGGTCGCCGGAGTTCGTTGAAGTTCGCCGGAGTTTCGCCGGAGCTCAATAAGAAAGGCTAGAACTCCATAAGCTTCATTAAGGTGAGAAGACGGCTATATGCTTTATAACTTTTGCGCGAGACATGAGATTACCTAAATTAATCAAGAATATGTTTTGTGAATTGATTAATGGCATTAAAGCATGTGATATGTCATATTAAAGAATATAACATTGTTGAAAAGCATGATATGTAAGTTTGATTAATGAAAATATTATAAATTGATGTGCATGATGTTCCAAGGACCCAAATAGGTATTTTTGGATTAAGGACGTCAAGAAGTACATGCATGTAAAATTTCACGGTAATCGGACTTCGTTTGAGCAGTCAAACGGGCGTTGACCACTAAGTCAACTGTTGTACCCGACTGGGTATTGGCAAATACCCGACCGGGTATTAACTGAAAATAGCCCCAGGGCTACTGCCTTCTATACCCGACCGGGTATAGGTGGGTACCCGACCGGGTATTGGGTTTTACACCCAAACAGTCAGTTTTGAATGAGTATAATGTGGGTCGTTCGGGTGGGACCCGTCCACGTTGATTATTAAGGATTAGTATGTGACTATAGGGCTAGGTATTATCCATAGTTAAAGGAATGAAAGGTTAGCTATATCCAGGTTAGAGTTTGGTAAGGAATAAGGTTGGGGTTGAGTATCCCCGGGACGGTAAATGATCCTGAAACTCGGTTGGGGTTGAGTATTCCCGGGACGGTAAATGATCATGAAACTCGGTTGGGGTTTAGTATCCCCGGGACGGTAAATGATCCTAAAACTTGGTTGGAGTTGAGTATCCCCGAGACGGTAAATGATCCTAAAACTCGGTAGGATATTATGAATGTAGAATGTAGCTTGTGGGCTAGGCATTCGGGAATGGATGGGGGGGGGGGTAAGTACCTTATCTAAAAGACTATTTAAATGAAAATGGCCTACGGGTTGAGTATTACAAGTATATACTATATGTATCACCTTGTGAGTGGGGTAACGATGGTTACACCTACAAATATACGTATCACCCTATTTTTGGGTCTCATGTCTGAAACATTAGTTATTCCTCATATAGCCGAGTTTCTTTCGTAGTGACAAATCACCAAAGACTACAACAGCGCTCAATCCGTCTCGCGTAAACCTGTATCTAGTACTTTCTATGGAGTACTGACCTCTTCGGGGGGGCTCACATTTTTCAAGTTAAGGCATGAGTCCTATTACCTGCACCTTTGCCTAGGGTGGTCATCCAATAAGGAACACATGGTTCGTCCTTCCATTCTTATTTGAAATTATGGGATTGCTTATGGATATTTAAACAATGTTTTCTATTAAACTATCGAAGGGCCTGGGTGCTCATGTTTGCCATGTGTGGCTAAATTATCAAACATATTATATTTCCGCATTTGTTTGATTAATATATTGATGTTGATTGTATGGGTTTACTAATCGGTTTGGCAATAAAACCTATCAGATGCCTTGTATGATTTAATAAGAATGAACTACGTTGTTCTTATTGGGTTGTATAGCGGTTGTCTACGTGGCACGGATGCGGTCCAGAGTGTGACACTTAAGTTGACCCCCCAAAGAAAGGAAAAAAGATACCTTTTGCAGAGAAAATGAACGGATGAGCTTCACTGCCCTCTCTATTCTTTTTACCAAGGCATCATTTTCCGCTACACTGGTCATTCGGATTCTTGATGCCTTGGGGAGAAATAACCTCAACAACTTGTTTTCTTTCCTGGTATGTGAATGTGATTCTTAATATTTTTTAAGATGGGTGAAGGAAGATCTAGGTATACTTATTGTAAATGGTAATACGTTTGCAACATAAATTTCTATGTAAATGCTAGAGTAATAGCATTAGGTTAGTTTGGTAGTGTGAGCTAAGTTTATACTGAGAGCTTGCATTTCTCATTTTTATGTGGTTCAGGAAGAAAATTGTGGTTTCTTCGGGTGGGAATAAGGTGTTACCACGCCTTCATCACCTCAAATTGAAGATGCCAACGTCTTTAAGACACAACCAATCACATTTGACATACAACTTGAAAAGAGGATGATGGAAGAAAAGATAAAGAAGCTGCGTTTCAAAAATCAAAGACTGAAAGGGGAAGTGCAACAACTGAAAAATGAAGTCTCTGAACTTCGTAGTGAAAAATTTAAGTGTTCAAGGATTTGGAAGAAGTGTTCACTTTGTCTAACAATTTCATTGTTCATGTTTTCCCTTGTATTCTTGTTTTTGAAATAAATATGATTTCAATAGTTCAAGGATTCTACAAAATAAGAGCACTACATGGTCAGTGTTTGTACACACAAGCTCACTACTTTTTCTTAAAAGCATCACGAGTAGGAAATCCCTGCCCCATCCATTGAAACTTTGAGAAGTCAATGTGTGTACTCACAAGCTCACTACTTTTTCTTTTCTTCCTACTATCACCTATCTCTTCCTCACTTTCTGGTGTAGTGTGAATTTCTTCGTCACTGTCCTCGTACTCGCTTAAAACCGCATCCTCAGTAGTGCAGGTAGTGTCTTTTGCATCTTCCTGCCCTTCTAGACTACCTTGTTCAACTCCTTTTTAAAGTTCTTTTACGATTTCAAACAGTTTGTTGTTGCATTCTTTAACTCTATTCTTTGCGATTAAGTAT